TTAGATCGATAATATGATGAAAAGGTAAAAAGGAAGTGACAGCGGTGAGATTCGAACTCACGCCCTTTCGGACCGGTGCCTTAAACCGGCGCCTTAGACCGCTCGGCCACGCTGCCTTGCTTCATTTGATTTCTAGAAAGAAAACCTGTGTTAGACAACGAACTGCATGGTCATCTCAACTACTAAAACATTTATAAAAAACAGACAAAACGAGAACACGTTTTCGTTCTTCTTGATTTCTTTCATCTATTTGGAGTTTTTGAATTGATTCCTCATGATTTCGACTTCTCAAATAAAACCGGTTCTTTAACTGTAAAAACCTGTATAATCGCATTTTAATCATGACTAAAAGATGATCGAAAGACATGGCTGAAACAATACTAGAGATCGGTAAGTAGACAAAAATGTTAAACGTTTTTTCATTGTTTCATACATCCATTTGGTAGACAATGTGTTAGAAAATCTTTTATTGAGAGGAGACATTTTTTGAGCAGAAAAAACTTCTTTTGACGCCATGTCAATCTCCAAAAAACAAATTTTGCCTAGTTATTGACAAAAACTTCCTCTAGTAAAATAACTGGTAAAAGGCTTTTACACGGGCAATTCGATGAAGAATTTCATTCTGCTTTGACTGATATATAAAGAAAATTTTAAAACTTGTTTACTATTCCTGTGAAAATTGATCAATGGTGATGGAATCATGTCTATGTGGCTTGAAAAAAGTTGCTTCTGACAAAAGGCTAAGACACTTCGAAACCCTAGGAGAACATTTGATGTGTCTTTCGGTGAGATCGCTAATCTGTGTACCATTCGGCATGACATACCTTTATCTGAGACATTTACTTTTGATTTGATCTGATTTTGAAGGTGAAGAAACAATATTTTATGTGTTTAATAAAATGAATCACACAGAGAAATGATTTTGAAATAATTTCAAAAATTATCGAAAGATTATTTTTGTCATAGCCACATTCAAAACCATCTCGTCGTGAGGTAAAAGAAGTTGGATGGTGGCCAATTAGAGACAATAGTGATAACGTTATTTGTGTATACTGTGCACCATTATACGAAAACTGGACTATAAATGACATACCTATTCGTGTTAATCAGGATTTCACTCCTAATTGTGAATATTTTCATTCACAAATATGCTTGCATTTTTTTACATCATATAATTTTGTGACAGTTAATGATGCCATGGTGTCGTTGTCATCACCAGTCTCTTCAGCGTTAGTCGTTAGATATTCTCAATCAGCTTATGCAACAATGCCAACACGCCGGGAAACATTTAGTTAGTATCCTTGTTTATCAACAACGTTGATTAGTGACTCGTATATACAGTTATTCTTTCCTCCACTTCTCTATTCTAGTCTGATTATGAACATTAAAATATTGTAGTATTCAGATATGAACTTATCTTTGTATGCGTATTCATTGATCATCAACTGAACCAAGTTGTTCTCTTTGTATACATGTTTATAGCATCACTCCCGTCCACGATGTGAATAAAAAACGATAAGAAATAATTCAGAGTACAATTAAAAAAGTTAACTCAAACTATTCATATGTTAATACTACTGCGAATAACTTACATGGAAAGAAGTTTCATATTTTTACTTATCTAATATTAAGTTAAATTATTAACTCATGCTCATTAATCTATTTAAGTTTTACAAAATACTTTAATGAATAAAAAAAACACCTAGTTGGCTTGAAGAAAGGGCAGCTATATTGTCAGAAATTCTAATAAAGCTAGGCTTGCAAAAAGTCTTCGAGTGCAAGATATTTTCTATAAGTTACCGGATAGAATTTGTGACATAAACGCAAATAAACTAGTATACGCGTTTATTTTTCATAACTTTTGTAACGAGTAACGCAGCGTTTTTTGCGTTACTTTTCTAGTAACGCAGTAACGCTTGCGTTACTCGTTACCAGTAATGCAACAACGCATGCGTTACTCGTTACCAGTAACGCATAATATAGTAACGCTTTAGTCGCATTGTGTCCGGAAGGTGATAAAACAATACATTTTCGGTTGTTCGTCACTCATACGGTGATATTTGAAAGCGTTGCTTTACTCAGTAAAGTAACGCATCAGTAAAGAAAATGTGCCACCCCTAATTGTTTCAATTATTTGTTGACATCGATTCTGTAAATTATCTATATTTCTTAAACTAACACGTTCACGTTCAATTTCATATAGAAGATCAATAACTTCTTTAGGATGACAGCGTAAAAATTCTCGACGTTTCACGATTAAGCGCCCAGCAACACTATAACGTGTACATTCTTTTAACGAAACTTCTTCTTCTTTTGTACAAAGAGACAATAGTAACATATAAATGATTGATATATAATCATCAGCGTAATAAGCCGAACCTTTTTGACCGATTCTTATTCAACCAGTACAGGTGTTTATGCAGTTATAAATGCTCCTTCATATTCACCATTGAAACCATTATATGTTGATGAATCCCAATCTATTAACCCTTTCCAGCCGGATGTTGCCATTTGGCAACATTGGCTCAGTATTGTCCGTGGTAATTTCTTCTTAGTGATGTTGCATAATCGCTGGCCAATACGATAATTACTGGTTAACATTGCTGCACGTATTCATGCAGTCATAAGACGAAAAACAGTTCCTTTTGAAAATTTATATGGGTTGAATTGACATGCCCTGAAGTGAGATCTAAATAAAAAAATTGAATTTTCTATTTACCTGATTATAATGTACGAAAGTTGAATAGCAGTAAATATTCCTTGTCTAGAGCCAATGTTTAATGTAACACAAAAGCAGATCCTCACTTATGTCTAATCAATAGAAAATGTGGATGTTGCCATTTGGCAACTCCCGGTCGCAATGGGTGAAAATGGGTGTGCGTCTAGAAACATGTAAAATGCGTTGTTTCTCACTTGAGATTAGAATAAAAATGTCTGTGAAGTACTAATCACTCAAAAATATTGACAGCTGTTGATACAATTGGGGCTACAGTGTTGAAGAAAACGACTTCACAAGGCACTATTGATGTTGACGCCATCTATTTTACAATATTGTTATTGGTAAAGAACCGGCCATCTCATCATCCGAGTCCAGCAACGATCTGCCAAAGAACTGTCAATAATGGTGCATATTATCTCCATGGGATGGACAAGCCTTAAATATTGAGATTATTGAAAATTCTAAATTCTCGATCATATTCGTCATCTAATTCTCAGAAAAAATATCGTGAGTTGCATGTTTCTCAGTATTTGACAATTGATTTTAAAGTTTGATCACAGATTTTTCAATTATGACAACAACTATTGCATCCATCTAATGTTCTAACCAAAGTAAAACATTCACTTGAAGAAATATTCCTTACAGTGCTAATGGGTAATGTAGTATGTAGTATGTATTGTAATTTATGTGCATATTCAGTACCGAGAAAGAGGATTAGCACTGTTACGCGACATCTTAATGACTGCGTTTAGCTAATGCCTGTAAAGGTTGAAAAAATGCAGACCCAGAAATCATAAAACTACATTTATCATTTAAAAAATACATTTATGCCAATTAGCATTACAGATGCAAGAAAAAAAATCACGACTGGGACCAGAAAATTTTAAAAGTGGTCAGGCCAAGCCAAATAAATTCGTTTGGTTGGGTCGGACCGAGCCGGGCTTGATCCAGAAACTTTCATCATTGGGCCGGACTGTGTGGATCTCCAATCCAAAATGAAAAGAACACTTCGTTTAGTGTTAAAAGAAGAAAAAGCTTTTTTAATCGCCTGCAGCATTTTCGAGATTATTAATTTTAAATCTGTATGTTCTGGTTTATAAAATACACTAATTTCTCGTTCTCTTTTGAACGTTATTATTAATGTACTCCGTGGTAGCAGGTGTAACCGAGCGTATTTTCCGGGGCGTATTTTTCAGTGGTTGCAACACTATATTATCAAGAACTGTTTGATATTAAATATAATAGTATGTTTGCTGTCTTTGCTGCCAATCAAGTTTATATAGTTAAGCTAACTTCGTGAGACAGGCTGACGGTGGTTTTTTCACTGTTAATCTTAAGGGCTTTTGTTAAGTCAAGCTGGAGGTTTGGATATGTCCACTACTGATTATATCGACTTATTGTACTCCTTTTGCTTCTCGCGTTTCTACTAGTTTGAACATAATAAAACCTTGATGTGTAAAGCTACACGTTTTCTCACTCGTTTGTTTGCCTATTTTCCTTTCTTTTTTGAATTAAAAATGCCAACTTTTTCATAATTAGTACCGTTTTCATGACAGTTTTTGACTGCTTGAACGACCCGTTTTAAAGCCTTAAGAGTCCATTTCTTTCACGTTGTGAAAATGGACGCTTAACGGTATTTTAAGGTCATTTTTTGACCTTTTTATACTATATAATTCATTGTAAGTTTGTATGCTAGTTTCTTCAATAACAATAGCAATCCGTTTTGGAGGCCGTTTCAACGCCGTAAGTTGGCCGTATGAATGATAAAAACATGAACCGTTAATGGCTTGCTCTAAATTGGTCTTAAAAAAACGGAAAGAAAACTTTTTGTTACTTTTTCGTTGATTTTCACTTTTTTCGTTGATTTTCACTATTTTCGTTTTTGGGGGTGATACATAATTCGTCACAGGTATTGAACAATATAAAAGAGCAAAATAAAACGGAATTCGCTAGGATTGTCGAAAGGTATGATTTTTTCACTCTGTATATCAGCATTCCACATGATTTGTTGTTAGAAAGTATGAAATGGATAGCTGGTAAAAGTATTGCATCCCGAATACCGTAATAGTAGCAAATACTTATTTAACAACTTTTCGCAGCACTATAAGTATGAAAACTAAAAACATCGAAAAATCAATTAGTTTTTCCTAAAGATTCATTCAACATGATAAATTTTTAATTTAAAACTGTTACTTCACATTGGAGCAATTGTAATGCAACAAACAATTGGTATTCTTGTGTGTATAGTTTCAGGCCCTTATTTTGTCAATCTATTTTGATATAAGGCAGAATTTGAGTTTATCGAGAAGAACACGCAGAAACTCTATTTAACATGTAAATCACTCAATAGAACATTCACGTATATTGATGATTTGATTACAATAAATTCTGATAGTAAGTTTGGGCAACATCAATCTACGACCTATCCATCACGACTAATTTTAAATCAAGAAACATAGGCAATCAAAAGGGAACGTTCTTAGATTTTGAAATAGAGATAGTTAAAGGTACGTAAACGATAAAATTTACACCGTATGATAAACGAAAAAAGTTTGATTTCAAAATAGTTAGTTAGCCTAATTTCAACAGAAATTTCCCAAAAGCTATGAGTTATGGTGTTGTAATCGAACTAATGCTTCGCTTATCAAAAACATGTATGAATTTTTCAACAAAAAATAAAGTTAAGAACTTTTGCATCTTTTTCTGGTCAAATTATAAAAGCTTTTCTGGTGTTCATTAAACTTCTGGAAAACGCATACCTTAAAATATTAACTTCAACTTCTCAATGTTGTTATCGAAGTTTTTAAATTATGTACCATTCAATATAGTATTGAAAACTGAAAAAATTAGAATAGTTCTCTGCTTTGCTATGCATCTTTTTTTCACAGTAGTGGGATCATTCCAATGACTTTAATTTCTTATCGATGGAAGAAAATAAAATATTCCTGACATAAAAAGAATCTTTTCAGCTATCTATTAATATTTTGGTTTTGTACACATGAAAATGCGTGTTAAAGCCAACATATTAAGGTATGCATTTTCTAGAAGTTTATTGAACATCAGAAAAGCTTTTATAATTTGACAAGAAAAAAATACAAAAGTTCCCAACGTTCGAAAAATAAAAAGTACCAACAAGTTCCTTCACGGTCACCCTGGACAGACATTGGTGAGAAAAGTTTGCAGGGTGTCGCAGGATAGACATGGGAGACAAAATTCTTGTTCTTCCAACTAATAAAATCCTGCCAGATCTCGTAGGAGAAAACTTGGGGATTCAATAAGTTAAAAAGTCTTGCGGTGTTTCTTACCTTTACGCAGGACTTTGTCCACGTTAATCCTACATAAACTATGCAGGATTCCGTCATGACTGGCAGAATAAAAAATCCTGCTTAAAGGTAAGAAACATCGCCAGATATTTTAATACCAACAAAATGAACAATGAACTCGATCCTTGAACACATCTTCCGCTGATCAAATGACCGGTTACTACAGATTAGCATTTCAAAATGCTCTGCAATGTTCTTGATCCACTGCACACAAAAACTTGTACTAGCTGGCTTATTGTCAGGAGGTGTACAGATAGTTTTACACAAAAAAATAGCCATGTAGGTTAGTTCTAAAATAAATCAGTCAATCAATCCATGTAGCTCTACAATCCGTTTGTTCTACAAATCTGTGCTTCCAGAAAAAGATTTAATTGCATAAGTATCCAGGAAATAGTTATTATTTCCAGACCAGCTTTTCGGGATTCCTAGAAAGCCGCGAAAAATCACTTATATAACCAAAAGTGATACAGATTTTGAAAGTAGTCACTTCAGGCTATCTTCCCATATGCTCATCTCAAAACCGATTTTTTGACCGAAA